AACTCCTTTATCATCTCCATATATTTCCAAGCCATTTCCCCACAAAACACCCTTTTTCCTGCCCAGAATTCTGCCCAACAATCGATTATCTTGATTGACAATCGATTATCCATCATCGTTGAAACACCTGTTGCCTTCAATAATCGACTGTCCACTTTAGACAATCGATTATCACTTCCTCTTGAAATCCTGCAGTCTCTAACAGTCGATTATCACTCTTTGTAAGTCGACTATCTTCCCCTCCTGAATTCCCTTGGAATAAGCTGCGAGCCTCAATAATCGATTATCATATACTGATAATCGACTATTCGCTTTCCCTGAAGTTTCTGGGTTTTAGCAGCACAGCTCCACAATCGATTATCACCTGGCCATAATCGATTATCACCTGCTCCTGAACCTTGAACTCAAGTTGCATCATCCCTTAATTCCTTCTCAAAATAACAACTCGTTAAGACCCCCGGTTCGGGTATAACAGTCATATCCTTGCTAAGGGCTAAAAAGCTGACAATTGTAGTTTTTCGGGTAGTAAACCTTCCCGGTAAAGGGTTAGTTTTCTCTACAGTGTCGTATCTCTCGAGGAGTGGACGAAGGAAATTAGTTTAATTACTCTAATTAGGCGAAGATTAGGATTGGTTTATGAAAGTCTTCTCGGAACGATTATAAAAGGAGCAGAGTAAAAATAATAGATTAAGGTTACATAGTATAAGTGCAGATCTGGACCTAGGGTTAGGACATCATTTGGATATATTTTATCATATTAAATTAACAATTGGAATAATAATATTTCTATTACTACTCATCCATTTCTGGATTTGTACTTAATCCGTTGCTCTTGAATATCATAGTCCTTGGACATATAATATTTTCTCAATAAATAGCTAATTAAGTCTTTCGAGATTAATTAACTAAATAAGGCAAGAACAATAGACTAACCATTCCAACATTAATTTAACATTCAAAGTATACAACCAAACTAGTCCGGACCCAGAGATCCGGACCTAACTCATACTATGCAAACATAAATTAAAACGACATTTTATTAAATAAGAAAACTTACGGCTTCCGTACAAGTGAAACAGAACAGATCGGGAGTCAAATCCTCCGGAAATACTCTAAAACTACTACTAAAACTAATATACAAAGTATTTTAAGCAATTGAGAGAATGGAACCCGAAATTGGATTGTAGAATGGTGAGGAATGAGTGAGAGGAGGGCTGTATTTATAGGGCAGGAAGTACGGGCGTCCAACTCCTTGAGCGTCCAACTTTGGACGCCCAAACCCAAAATACGTGGCTCGTCCAATCGCGTGGTGCCGCGTGTCATTCTTGGAGCGCAATTTAAGCCAGGCGTCCAACTCAAAGCGTCCAACTTAGTCAGGCGTCCAAGTTGGACGCCCTAAGGCCTTGGTCCGTTGGGCTTCACGGCTGGTGCGAGATCTTGGCCCAATTTCACTCCTTTTCGGCTCGAACGTCGATTTTAACCTCCTGGAAGCTCATTCAAGCCCAAATCTTGATCCTTTGATGATTTATTCCTTTTTCTCAAGTATTTGAACATAAAATGGATGATTTATGATGATTTCAAGTGGAATCCCTTTTTATGACTCTTAGAACGAAAATGAGAGTAAAAATCCATTGAAATCGCATTTTATAAGATGATTAAATACTACTTACGTGCAATAACGTTTAGAATATGATGTAAATGATAAGAACGAAACAGACTTATCAAAAGCTTAAGTCATGTCAAATCACCTCTTTTCAATTCTTCCTAGATCTATCCCTCCCCCACCCTTGCCCACCTAAGCCTCTAACTTCTCTTCATCGGGGCCTCAACCTGTAGAACTTCCCTTCCTTATCAAATCTTCATGTCGCAGAGGACCCCTGAAGCTAGCTTCCATTTTGCCCAAGCAATCCCCATACGGGGAGCAACATCCTCGTCTATCTCCTATCCCCATATGCTTGAATGATTGAATCAAGATATTGAAACTTGTCTCTCTTAGGCACTGGGTGTGACTCAACACTCTCTTCCACATTCGATTCTGGCGCCCTACCACTGAAGCAACATTCCAAGTACTCTGTTTTAGTTTTGCATAGTTTGGAGCCTTTGGATTCTAGGGAGGGACATCACAACTCCACTCCTACTTGTCATTGAGCCCCTCACGTGTCTTGTTGATTAACACAATATCGTCAAGAAAAAGCATATGCCAATGGACCTCCCCTTGAACACCTTGCAAAAAAGAGATATTGACCATCCATCACTAGAACAAATAGGAAGGGACTAATGGCACCCCTAATGTAACCCTACCTTTATGGGGAAAGGATTAGATACACCCCCATAGTCTTCACCCTACCCCTTGCCCCGTCATACATAACTCTGACTGCACAAATCTACGCATTCGGAACCCCTCTAAACTCAAGACACCTCCACAAAATCTCCGTTGGCAACTTGATGTACGCCTTCATGTAGTCAATAAACACCATGTGAAGATCCTTCTTAGCATTATATGCTTCCATCAACCTGCACTGATATCACCCTTACCCTTGTACAGTGGGATCACCACACTCTCCCTACACTCGTTTGGCATCTTAGTCATCCTAAAAATAACATTAAAGAACTTGGTTACCCAATCCAACTCATTGTTCTCCGCAGACTTTTAAAACTCCACAGGAATCTCATCCGACCCCAAGGCTCCCCCTTCTTATCGTAGGGATGGTCCTCCCCACCATAGTTGTGAAAAGCACACCTGAGGCCCTGAGGCGCGATGCGCACGAAGCGCCAGGAGTTGTATATATACATGACCTGATATTTTTTGTAGTAATAACATACATTGATTGACCGACCTAGATACCCGTTTAAAATCTACTCATTAGGTGTAAATTATAAGTAGCTCCTAGTTTGGAGCTGTTCTTAAAATGTTTTTCTCACTTAGGTGGTGAATGTAATTCTATTTCTTTGTTCTACCATTTTTTGGTCTGACGTTTCTTAAATGTGTTCTTCGGATGCATATTATACATAACCGATGCAAAAAACATCCGGTTCGCAAAATTATTTCCCCCTTTTGCATCGGTTGTTTGTAAAATCGATGCAAATAGAGTGGTCGATTAACCTTTTTTTGTACTAGTGGAGTTTCGAGGGCTCTATAAGTGGCAACATTTTAGGTCCTCCTAGCGCCTTCAGGATTTGAAGAATCTTGTTCTACCTGTATCTCTTTCGCAATAGATTTTTAGGAACCCCTTACCTTCACATTTGCGGAGGCAGCTTGCTTTCGTTTAGTGCAGGGCACAACGTGGTTATTCCCGAGAAAATGAAAGCCGGCCAAACGAAACAATTGGTCCGTGTGAAGATCCTCATGGTCTATCAGTGTGTCTCCCTTCATCTCTTTGTGGGTCTTTTCCACCAAAGAGGATTTGAAGAAGGAAGTTCGGGGTAAGTCAGAGTAGAGCGCTACAGGGGGAAGATCCAAGGGGGTGTGATCCGGGAATTCGATGAGAAGTACCTCCGGGCCCATTTCTCAATTTTCGACTTCATTTTTGTGAAAATGAGCTAGTGTTTATTCGGGTACACGTTAGAGTAAAAAAATGGACCGTTGATACTGAACAAGAGTAAGAAATCTTCGATGAAAGGAGTCCTCTGTTTACCATGGCAGCAAAGAATGAACGAAGCCAGGTACTTATGAGCGTTCAAATTAAACTGCCTAGGAAGAACTTCTCAAGTAGTGCATATATCCTGGATGAAGGGGTGGAGCGGAAATCTGAAGTCGGCTAGGACCGAGTCATAGTGCATCACAAGGAAGCGATGCGACTCGGGGTTAGAGACGAGGCTGACATCGCCCACAGCATCTAGGTGATGAACCATGAACGGATCACCGAGAAGATTGTGCATGAAATCGAGATCCGGTTCTTTGATTGTGGAAGAATCGAGCCGCCATTTTTCAAGATCGGTAGGTTTGGAAGACATGCTGAGATTCGAAAGAATGCTGAGAATTGCACGCGAAGATTTCTTTGAAATCGGATCAAATTTGGGATGAAGGAGAAGAAAGAGAGAATGGATGGCCAAAGGTACTTGAGTATAGACGTTATGATACGAAGCCCGAGACGAGGAGATTGGGGTTGTTTGCGATTTGACACGGAATACGAGAGTGCCTCATCATTAGTTTCTCAGTGACGCGTCACTTAGAAACTAGGAGGCTTGTGATGGATATCGAGTCCATGAAATGGACCCAAAAATGCCCAAGCATGTTATCTAGAGCCCAACGGAGATAGATCCATATCCGGATTATAGGAATGGGCCGAACCCAAGGATTAAGAAGAGTAATGGGCCAAGCCCAGCCCGTGAGGGCGGACTGGTCACGAAGTATAAGGAGAGCGCAATCCTCGTGATCGTAGAATTGAGGAGCGATTGATGACTGATTCTTCGCTCACAATTGACGCACGATAGCCAATCAACCCAATAATGTAACGTAACACACGAATTACATACCATATACGTAGTAGCGTTAGGCTATAAATAAGAGATAAACCCTTCATTGTAACGAGGCTGAAACGAGCTAATACAAGTATACAAGAGTTATATATATAATTTATAGTGTTCTTATTTGCCTACAAGTTCTTCGTGTCACCATAGTCGTTAGGCTAAATTCCATCAGTGAGATTGTTAATGAAAAATAAATTTTTAGTCATGACCAATCGGATGTTATTGTGTCTGGAGTTACCAACTGTAATGGCTTGAATTGAAAACAATCATTTGTAGTGATCATTTAGCAAGTTCGAATACCACAATACATATTGTTTATAAAGAAATATTTTAGAACCTTTGATTCCTTAATTCCTTATAATAGTAGTTTTTGCAGTTTTTCGTATCACTGATATCTAATACTACTCCGTATTACCCTACAAAATTAATTTGAGTTATGTAGACTTTTATTGCGTGTCCTTTTTATATTTTTTAAATTAAAAACACATAAAACATACACTATACAAAAATTGATGACTTGCAACACACACCATTTAAGGAGTATTATTAATAAAATCTACTTATATACGCGGTTCTTTCCCGATCATACGGTTCTTTCCAGAAACCCTCCAATAATCTCACAAGAAATATTCGTTGGAAAAACGTAAGACATGTTCAAGAAGACGGCGGAGGTGAAATCACAGCAGCGAATTTCCGGTGCAGATCGCAAGAAGCTCCGACGGACCATCAGAGAGCGCTTCCCCAATGTCTCCGATGCTGATATCGATACTTTGCTCCCTCCTAAGGTATTAAAGATCACAATAATCTTGTAAGCGATTATTGGACTCGATTAACTTCTGATTTTTTTTTTGTTTGATTCTAATCGGCCATTTTCACTTAATTCTAAAACTTCAGAACTTTTTGAATCAATCTGTGTTTTCCACTAATAAAGGTAATCTTTTGTGCACCAGGAGGCTACCACACTATCTTTTCTATTCCTTATTTATAAATTTTTACCAATTTATGAACCAGAGAGCTTGTCATAAAGGGGCCGCAAGGAACAGTGTCCGGTTACATGTTAGACAAATATATCTGTTGTCTGCACGCGTCCTCTACATTTTTACATGTTATTCATCTCTGTGGCACATAAAATGGTTGATTAGTGTTAGGATATATGATTAAATAATCAATGAAATAAATAAAAGTTGAAAATTTAAAAAAGGAATATGGAAGAAGAAGATATAAGATGCTTTCGATGTTGCAGATCCATGAGGAATATTATTCCAAATGGCACGACAAGACTTTGAATGCTCTCTTGTTTTTTGTGACCTATTAGGGTGATTGTTGGCTATTAAAAGTCTTGGTTCATGGCTTCATTAGGTGTGTGAAAAAGAGGTGGAAGAGCAGATACATTACTGAATTCTCAGGGATTTTTTTACTGTGTGTATGAAGCAATTGGAAACTAGTTGCTTGAAAACATACGTAGTATTCAGGTTCAGAGTTTGGGAAAGAGCCTTTTTATACATGTCTAGTATTTGGCATTTATGAATAGGGTCGAGAGTTTTTTTTTGTATTTTCCTAAAACAATGGAAAATAGAAACTCTCAAATATTCTTCTTGTATGTGACCATTTAGAGCCTGTTCTTTAGAGCTTGAACTCTTAACTTCTAGTTTCTTCCAGTTCCTTCCAGTTTTTTCCAGTTTCTTCCAGTTCCTTTCAGTTCCTTCCAGTTTCTTCCAGTTCCTTCCAATTTCTTCCCGTTCCTTCCAGTTTCTTCCAGTTTCATCCAGTTCTTCCAATTTCTTTCAACTTTTCTCATTTTCTTCAAATTCTTTCTACTCCTCAACCAATTACTCTAAAAATGATATATTTTAATGTGATTATTATTATTATTATTATGTTTATTATTATTATTATTATTATTATTATTATTATTATTATTACAGCTGTTATATTCATAACTATAGTTTATAAATTACTATTTTTTTTCATCTCACTATTTTTACGATTCAAACTTATTATTTTTTTCTTCAACTTTTTAATATGAATAAGACATATTTTTGTATATTAGTCTACATGATAAAATAGGAAAACATCAATATGTTAAATTATACTAAAAAATTATGGATAAAATAGTTACATTGAATGTTTTATTAATATAACTTTTTATAAGACATCTCAGTTTTCCCTTTATTACTTAAAAATTGCTCATTTTTCTCATTTTTATAAAAAAAATTGTAAATCAAAAGAGCTTAGAGAAAAAGACTAAAATATGAGTAAAACATAAAAAATGTAAACAAAAAAGTTCTATGTCTTTACTCTTTATTCCAAAAATAAGAATTCAATGAAAATAAAATGTCAATCATGAAAGAAACAATAGGTTTGATTATGTGACATTTATGATATTTAAAACAAAATGTTTTAATATATAAATTATAATTACAAATATATTATTTATAATAAGTACTGCATAAATAAATTGAGGTACAATATAACTACACAGACTTTTTAAAATTTAATATTTTTATATTTATGCTAACTTTATATTATAATTATTTTTTGCAAAAGTAGTTTTTTGTATTTAAAAAATAACAATACTTTTTTTTTATATCTTAAAGACATTCACTAAGATAACGTGATAATGATATTGATTATGATGATGATTATGATGATGATTATGATGATGATGATGATAATGATAATGATAATGATAATGATAATGATAATGATAATAATAATAATAATAATAATAATAATAATTTATGACAACAAGAATTTAAAATAAATATTTTTAAAGTTTTTTAGGTTTTCCAATTTTTTGAAGTTTTTCCTGTTCCTTCTAGTTTTTTCCAGTTTCTTCCAGTTCCTTCCAGTTTTTTCCAGTTCCTTCCAGTTTCTTTCAGTTCTTCCAGTTTCTTCCAGTTTCTTCCAGTTTCTTACAGTTCCTTCCAGTTTTTTCCAGTTTCTTCCAACATCCAACTTTTTTTTTACAGTCCTAAAGAACAGGCCCTTATTATATCTTGCTCACGGTAATTGTTTGGAATCTTAAATGCTTAAATTCCAACAATTACTATCACATCTTGCCTCTTTGCGGTGGGAGGAGTCCATGAGCGAAACGAGGAGAAGATCAAAGGACACGAATGATGAATCAACAAGAAGTTCGAATGTTTTGACACAAGAAGGCAGAACCAAGGCCTTGAAGGTGAAGGCCCATATGATGGAACAAATGACAGACTTCGAGCGCGTGAAACATCGAAAGAACGACAAACAATAGAAAATGACGTGAAAAAAATGACGGATGAAGATTGGGAAGATTTGAATGATTTAACAACGAATATAATTTACTTATGCCTTGCAAATAATAGTCTTTTGGTGGTCATTGGCTTGTCAAATTCGGTTGATATTTGGGACAAGTTGGAGAGACAAATACCAAGTTTGTGAGGAAATCTTATTTCTTTAGGATTGAATTTGAAGAGCTACTAGTATTTTGCTCAAGATGAAGTGTTGAAGATTCTATAAAAGCGATGATAGTGGGAAAAGGAAAAGACATTCAAGCTTGTTAAAATCATGACATGAATAGTAAAATTGTATGAGTTGGGTTCACATCTTCGATTTACATTGCTGTTAAGAATAAAAAATCCCAAGATCGTTTGGATCAGTGCGGCGGGTCGTAGAATCACGGGATCGTTTGGATCAGTTCGACTGAAAAATAAATTCTAACAAGAATCTTGATTGACCGTCAATTGTGCTTTTCAATTTCTTCACGTCGTTCGACATCTGCACTTCTCCCTCTTCCGATTTGAATCTCCATCACATTTAAGTTGTTACTCGTGACCCGACTTTGTGATGTCTTTTTTAAGAGGTATAATAATTTGTATTAGCCCATAAAAGGCTACTGAGTATGCAGACTTGATCACGTGTTCGGATACCTGCCCCGCCCACAAAATAGCATGTTTGGGCTTAGATTTTTGGACTATGGGCCGAGCGCGGTCTTTATAAACAAAGGCCAACAAACTCATGGTAGGCACAACTTGCTCCGAACCCGCGACCCAGCCCGCCCTAATATTAGTGATAGTTTGGACGAGCTCAGGTTTATTTGCAAGACTGCGGCCCGGCTTGCCCTTATATTAATGACAAGAATACTAAAAATAATAATAACAACAACATTAGTACTTTATTGTTATTGCAACAACAATATTTCTTATTATTAGTAAATGAACACTCATACATTTTCCAAGGGAAAAAAGAATCTTAAGTCTATTTACTAAAATGATAATAATTTATTATTGCTAATCACATGTTAAATGATTTTCAAGAAATTCATAAACAATACCACCCAAAACACATCATATATATTAGTCGTTTATTGGATAATGTATTTATCATAACTTTTATATTAAACATTTTCTAGATTTTTGAGTAAACTACTATTTTAGTTAAAAAGACTTTTTTCTATGTATCTACTAATTATTATGAGTTCGGGCCGGGCTGGCCGGAAGCCCGTAGGTTCTCGTGCAAAGTGGGCTTGGGTTTCAATCGTTAGGCCCGTTATGCGGTCCAAGCTAGGCTGAGGCCTAGAAAATTCTCGTAATGTAACATCTTGGCCAGACCCAAAACTTGGGCCTACTAGTGAGCAGTTAGTACGGTTCATCTTTGGCCTTTGCAGTGAGCCTGTGAAATAGGGTAAAGCATCTCAAAACGTAAACTTTTTCTTTGATCATATTATAGTATTCCGTACTTTTTTTACGGCAGCAATTTACTTTGGTTGAAATGACTTGATGAACTTATTGCAATTTCTATTTATTTGATATTATAAGTATGATTTATCACTTTTTAAATATTTTTTTATTATGTACATGTCCTAAATATCAAATATTACTTCTCTAGGATTTTAGGAATCAAGTTACGATCCACGATTTACGATTTGCTCACCCCCAACAATCCTAGCTAGGATCTCTAGTGGGTAAAAGAAAATGTCAAACTGCTTGAATAGATTAGTAGGGAAATGGCTGGGAGTAGGTGTCCCAGGAAAATTTAGAAGTGAGTCAAGCAAATTGTTTTTGTGGTAGAAGCGAGAACTATCCTTTGCTTCTTTGGATGATAAAGGTGGCAACCTTGGTAGATCAAGTGAGGTAGAGCTTCGTTGGTTTTGATTATATAATCAAAATGAATTTAATTAGGATATTTGATTATAATCAATGAAATAAATTGGTCAAAAAAGACAAAAAGGGCCACTAATCTTAGATCTCCAAACACTCCCATCTAAGGTCATATCCTCGGTAAGGGCCATTAGTCTTAGGTCTTGTCTTACCAACTCCTAATTCTTCTTAGGTCTACTTCGTCCCCCACCCCGCCCAATACCGTAAGCTTCTTGCATCTTCCCACCGGGGCCCCACTTCACGTATCCAAACCACCTCAACGTAGCTTCCCGCACTTTATCTTACACAAGTGCCATTCCCATGGATAACCTTAAATTGAAATTTTCTCTCAAATACTATACTTGTGTGTCTATTTATTTATCGCGTTCATGGCAATTTTTTGGGCTTTTAAACTCTTAAAATCCCAATGATTAGGTGTAAGCATAGTTATGAATGGCGAGCGCCATACTCGCCTATGGCGGTTATGGCGCTGTGGCGAGGCTCTAACGCCTGGATTAGGCTGTGCATGGCGATGTCCTCGAGGCGATGAAAGGCGTTCGCCATTCTCGCTGCGTCTTATGGCGTTTGGCGAGCGCAATTATCGCCACACAGATCTGTGCAACTTTTTTTTGCTGTTGAGCCTTAAGAATTGAATGGATTAATGAAATTGGGCTTAAGCCCGTTTGTAATTAAATGATTTGATCCGTTGCCTTGAGTCAGTTTATCCATTACCTTAATCGATCGTATTCCCTTCCCCTCTTCCGTCTTCTTCCCCTATCCTCTCTTCCAATCAACCATGGGTTGAGCTTCCTAGCTTCGACTCAGCTCCCACTCTCCGAAGTCGCAGGTTCATAGCGTCTCTCCTTCCCAGAGTCGCAAGTTCCGAGCGTCCCTCCTTGGTCAGCGACTCAGTGCAGCAGCATCAGGTCACTAAGGATATTATTCTTAATTGTTTTAATTTGTGTATTATTTAATTAATTAATATTAATAGTTACAATTTCTTTAGTCTAATAGTTACCATTATATTTTCAATTTGTGTATTAATATTTGAATTTACTGTTGAAGACTTTTTTATATGCCCTGCATTATATATATTTGTGTGTGTGTGGGGGGGGGGGGTGTGGGTGTGTGTGTGTATTTATTTATATTAGCTTTTTATTTGTTTGCCATTTGACCGCCCGCCACTCGCCACTCGCCATTCATAACTATGGGTGTAAGTGCAACTTGGGAATGATGTTGGATGAAAGGAAGTATAATTCATTACATTATACCCCATCCAGGCTCCATCCCATAAGAAGAGTCCAATTTTTAACTTGTTTTTGTCCTAAAAACAGAGTCCGAGTTACACAAAACTTGATAATTTTGTTTCTATGTAATGTTTTTTGTTTTAAAAAATGTGTCACAAACAAGTTAAATATGTTAAACTTACTCGTAGTTAATTTTACAAATGAATACTCCATTTCAATGTGTTTGTCTAGTATTATGTATGTTTTTTTACTGTAATTCTGATTACTTTCGGTCTTATTTATATATATGTTTTGATTGATTGGGATCATTGTAGGCCGAGTTCACAGTTTCAAAATATCCCAATCGTATTCTTGTATATGGTTTAGAGGGTGACTGTCCTTTGTTTTTCGATTCCGATGGACGAGGCAACAAAATATTCCCCACAGGTTTCACCTCTTTTTCCCTTTATAATATAACTTTCTCTCTTTTTCATAAAGAATTAATCCTGCTTGACCCAAGCTTATGCTCATTAAATGGAAACTTGCAATGCCATTGCAAGATATCTTAAAAGATATTGCATTTCATTTTTGTTTTTCATTATCTTTCCACCTTTCTGCTTAAAAGCATTATGGAAAGGAATTACTTCATCATTCTAGTTGGTTTCTGTATTAAAAATGTAATTGGAGATCCATTTTGTGGCTAGTGGTTCTGAGCTAACATATTTATTTACTTCGTCTTGTGACCATCATCTTTATAGTCAAGTTGTACCTGGAAGTGAGTTCTACATTTTTTTAGACTTTTATTTGCATGCCCATTAGTATGTGCACAAGATAATAATGGCTAGGAGCTTTCTTCTGTCCCCATCCCAAGATACTATCTAGAACAAAAGGTCCTCGTCCTTGTGATGTCCCAAAGTTAGAGCATTCCTAGTCATTCCCCTCGTATTCCCTATCCATATCATGAATGGCACATCACTTTCCCCTCTTCATTTCCCTTACCCACTCTAATCATTTTGGGTAAATTTCAAATTTCACCAGTGGTACTGAAACGTTAAACGTTATTTCAATTAAGTACCTAAAATTCATTTTCTATTAAAAAAATACCCAAACTTTATCAAATATTTCAACCCTAGCTGCCTCTCTACCTCTTCTTTCTTCCGCTAGTTTAGTTCCCAAGTCGCCGCCGCCACCATCAGATTTCCAGAACCTATATTCAACAATCAACGGAGTCGCCGCTGTGGACATCAGGTTTTGGATAAATTGGATTTCGACTCAAAAGCTGCAGTTGAACTGATTGCAACACAGAATCAGATCTTGGAGCTCCGATAAGTTCCCTACGGCGCGCGGAATGCCGGTGAACTTATTCGTGCGGTTCAGGTGTTGGAACTTATTGATTTCTTCTGGGCAGAACGTTGTGACATCGACGACGGGTTTCGGGTATCCCATGGCTTCTCCGAAGCAAGCAGTACATCCGGCAGGGTCTGGGATCTAAAGCATGCAACTGAAGCTCCATCGACAACAACGGTGACTCTAGGCGGTGACGGCGGTGGTGGCGACTCAACGGCAGTGGCGGGGGATTTAAGCCGTGGAGGAAAGATGAAGAGAGGCAGTGGAGTGGCGGCTAGGGTTCTACGGAGGAAGAGGAAGAAAAGAAAAGGAGAAAAAGGAAAGGAGAAAAAGGGGAAAAATTAAAATGTTGAGTTGGCTGCCAACTCAACTTCCATGTCGGCTAAATGACCTACAGGTGACCTACGACGTGCTAATTTTTTTTCTTGAAATATTTGGTAACATTCGGGTATTCTTTTGATAGAATATGAACTTTAGGTACATAATTGTAATAACGTTCGTAGTTCAAGTACCACCGGTGTAATTTACCCTATCATTCCTCTTAATTTTCTTTTCGTAGATGTGAACCCTAATGTTTTTTCCCTCAAAATATTCATTTTACCTACCTACTTCTTTATCATTTCATTTTTTTCAACTCCCTATTACTTTTCTTATAAACAACTCTATATCATTTAAATTCATCCTAACTTATTGTATTCATTTCTAATTGTATTTTATATTTTCTTTTTTAATAATTATTTATAATTTTACATACAATGGAATTTATTATATATAATTAATTTTTTTATAACTTATTTTTAAATTTCATTTAATAACTGTATATTATCTTTTTTAATAACTTTTTCAATTTCATCCTAACTTATATATTTTTTAAATTTCTAATGGTCTAAACCCAAAAAAATTTAAATCCAAATGGATCAATCATTCATTCTCTCTCAAGGGAATAATAGTCCCACACTCCAACACCCCCTTATATTCCTCACCCACCTCTAACCATTCCCACACCATTTTTGGTGCCAACTAGGCAATCCCTCACCTCATTCCCCCATTAGAGATGCCCTTAGTGTATTTTTTATTATATAAAGAGAAGTCTTGGCCTCACTTAGCCTTGGACTCATCTTGATTCCTATTCCTAGGCGCAGATCTCTTCATGTACTGCCAAACTTGTTTTTCCCTAGCATTCAAAGACAATGATATTTGCAACTCCATTATAGTTAATTTATTTGAAGTTTAAATATATATATATATATATATATATATATATATATATATATATATATATATATATACACACATATATATATACACACACATACATACATACATATATATATACATACATACATATATATATATATATATATATATATATGTCATAGTACCATACTGATCGACTACAGAACCCATCCATCTTATTATGAGATAATTGTAGCAGTATAGAGACAAAAAGAGAGAGACTCACACTTGATGATTTGTGCATTGACCAAGAAAAGACATGTGATAAAGTCCCTGGGGAGGTTGTTTCGAGTCAAGAAGTGATATACCCCGGGATGCACCTTCACACACGCCACTAGTGTTACAACAAGTCAAGTGCTTAATGTCTAGGTGTTATGATGCATTTTGGGTTGAACTCATTGACCCGTCCCACATTAAAGCCCGAACCATGACCCTTCTCTCCCAAAACCCAACCTAGGCCGAAATGCCTACAAGCCCAACACACTCCCACATATCCAAAAGTATTTCATTTGCCTTTAATAATCAAAATAAAGTCCTTCACCTCCCTTTGAAGCCATGGCCGAAAATCCAAGAGACAAGGACAAACAAAATTGCTTTGTGTGTGTTGTTTTCTTTCTTAATATTCCCTNGAGACAAGGATTAAACATGTCTTTTGTCTTGGTGTGAAAATCATTCAAAACCATCCCCCCTCACTTTCCTTGTCCCATGGCCGAATTCCTCCCCACAAACATCCCCCAAATCACTTCTCAAACCTATAATAAGGCCATAGGAATAAACAACCAATCCCTTGATGTGTCACATACCTTACTTTGCATAAATGGACAAAATGACACACTCCCTCACCCTACCCTTCACATGGTCGAATTTCCCCACCCAAAGACAGCCCATTTCACCACCATGAACCCCTTTTAGCCTTGATCAATGAGGACAACCTATGGGATCCATCAAATAGACATTATGCACTTGAATTGTAGGAAAGAGTGGTGAAGTTTCCTTGCTGTTTTCCCTATATATTTCGACCCTATGGCCTTGTAAAATTCATTCATTGTATTCCATTTCTTTACTCTTTGAAGTAATATTTGAGTTGGTGTGAAGCTAATTCTCTCAATTTCCTAATGAAATATCTCTAAAGTTGGCTATTTTTGAGTGTGCGTTAGGAGTCTATTTCATATAATAATAGTGAATATTATTGTGTGAAAAGAAACAGCCTCAAATAAAATAAGAGTGTGTTTATCTCTTATTCATTATTTGGTTTATCCTTATACAACAAAAACAACCAAAGAACTCCCTCTTTCTCTCCCAATTTCGTCCATCCCCTTTATCCCATTTAAAGACTTCATTTCTTCATCAAAAACCACTCCATAATATTGCTTTTCTCCTGCCCTTCATTCTGTCCTATCATCTCTTCCAAACAACCATACTTTCTTCACCATTTCATACACAAATCCAACCTATTCTTCACCGTATATTCCCCTCTATAATCTACCCTTATTTATCCATAGCTTTTCCTAAGCTTGGGTACATCATTTGGTATCAAAGCTAGTTGTTGCTCATCTCTGAAGGACCATACACACTTCCCGAAATCCCTCCCTAAATTCGGCCTAACCACATTCAATCCCTACTCCCACTTCATCCCTTTTCCTATCAACCATGTCAAACCAATCCCGAAGCATGTCTCATGAAGAACTCGTAGCCGCAAACACTGCCTTGCAAGCTCAAGTGGAATACCTAGCCAAAGAAGTGGCTAAGCTCACAAAGCAGAAGATGTCCATGCTACGAGATAGTGAAGATGAAGAGGAAGCTAGCTCTAGTGCCACCATGAGAGCTAGGGCTCACGAAAAGTCCCATTCTGACTTCAAAGTTGATATTCCAATCTTTGAAGGAAAGAATGATCTGGATGAATTTCTTGAGTGGTTAGAAACGGTGGAACGAGTCTTTGATTTCAAGGAAATCTCCGATGAGAAGAAGGTCAAGATCGTGGCCTTAAAGTTCCGAAAGTATGCCTCTACTTGGTGGACGAATACCACCACCAAACGGTTCCGAAGTGACAAGCCTCCCGTTGATTCTTGGCAAAAGATGAGGAGTCTTTTGAAGAAAAAGTTTCTGCCCACCGAATACTCACGTGACAACTTTGCTAAGCTTCAAACGCTTAGGCAAGGTACGAAATCAGTGGAGGACTATACCCGGGAGTTTGAAGAGCTCTTGCTAAGGTGTGACTTGCAAGAGAACGAGGAGCAAACCTTTGTGAGGTACCTTTTCGGATTAAACACTCAAATAGCCAATACGGTGGAGCTGCAAAGCTACACTACTTTTGAAGAACTTACGAAGTCGGCTCTCAAAGTTGAGGCTCAAATGAAGAAATCCTAAGCCATTCTCTCAAGAAACCCTCCCCCTTAATCACGCCCCACATACACCCCCTCCAAACTCACCCCTACTGCCCACGGCCAAACCCCCAAACCCCAAACTCCCACTAAGCCAAACCCTACTCCTCCCCCACCTAAAACAGCCCCTACAACCAACAAAAGAGCCCCCATTTGTTACCGATGTCAAGGTACTGGTCACTACGCCAATGAGTGCCCAAACAAGAAAATAATGGCCTTGGTCGAGTATGATGATGAGGAGTACAATCCCGTGTGGGATGAAGAAGTAGCCGAGGAAGAGGAAGAAGAGTGCGTTGGCCCCGACGACGGAGAACTTTTGGTCATCCGAAGGACCTTAAGTGCCATACCGTGTCCCGAAGAGCAATTACAACGGGAGAACATCTTCCACACCCGTTGTACCATCCAAAAGAAAGTGTGCTCGTTAATCATCGATAGCGGGAGCTGCTCTAACGTTGCTTCCAAAACCTTGGTGGAGAAACTACATTTGAAGGTGTCCCCTCATCCTAAGCCTTACACCATTCAATGGTTAAACCAAGGCAAGGGATTACGTGTTGATACAAGGTGTTTGATCTCGCTGAGCATTGGCAAGACTTACAAGGATGACATTTGGTGCGACATCATTCCCATGGACGCATGCCACATCCTTTTGGGACGTCCTTGGTTGTTTGACAACAAAGTGCAGCATGATGGCTACTTGAACACTTATTCATTCCTTATGAATAAGAAGAAAATTACCCTCACTCCCTTACCCCCACCTTCCTCACCCACGGCCCAAACCAGCAACAACACCCCTCCATCCCTCATCTCCACTATACTCCAATCTGAACACCACGAACTTGAAGGATTCAAGGACCTCATTCTCCTTGATCTTGAGATGGCCGAACCCACTGCCCCTCCCAAACAGCCCCATCCTCTAGCCATCCCCATCCTTGAATAATATGCCCACATCTTCCCCGAAGATGTACCACACGGCCTACCCCCAAAAAAAGATATCCAACACAAGATCGACCTCATTCCCGGGGCTGCCTTACCGAACAAACCAGCCTATAGAATGAATCCCGAAGAAACAAAGGAGATCCAACGTCAAGTGGATGAGTTACTAGCAAAGGGCTTTGTTCGTGAAAGCCTAAGTCCTTGTGCTGTTCCCGCTTTGTTGGTACCAAAGAAAAATGGTACGTGGAGAATGTGTTGTGATAGCCGAGCCATTAACAAGATCACCATCAAATATAGGTACCCCATACCTAGGCTCGAGGATATGCTGGACGAACTTCACGGTTCGAAGGTTTTCTCAAAGATTGATCTTAGAAGCAGTTACCACCAAATACGTATCTTCGAAGGTGACGAATGGAAGACCGCCTTCTAAACAAAGTTTGGCCTCTACGAATGGTTGGTTATGCCATTTGGGCTGACCAATGCCCCTAGCACATTCATGCGATTGATGAATCAAGTATTGAAGCCATATATAGGTCACTTTGTCGTGGTCTTCTTTGACGACATATTGATCTATAGCAAGAGTGAAGAAGAGCACGTTAACCACCTCACCTTAGTGGTTAAGACATTGGATGAAGAAAAGCTTTATGGGAACCTTGAGAAGAGCCAATTCTTCTCACAAGAAACTGAATTCTTGGGATATTTTATCTCAAGTGAAGGCATCAAAGTGGACGAGAGGAAAACGCAAGCAATAAGGGATTGGCCCATCCCCACGTCAATGCAGCAAGTACGGAGTTTCCATGGCCTCGCATCATTCTACCGAAGGTTCGTGCGAGACTTTAGCACCATCACCGCACCACTCACGGACAACAACAACA